TCCTGCTGACCCCTTCCTCTCCTCTTCATGTCTTTATGTATGACCCAATGGGTTCCAGTCGAGTTGCTTACAGGGTCCTGGGGGAGGGGCTGTTTACAGACCCAGGGCCTTCTTGACTGTGGTCACATCACTGAAGAAAATATTTCTCCTTTTCCCAGCAACAATTAACTGCCAATAGCTCCTGAGGCAGAGGTGAGGCCTCCTGTACCCCTTCCTCGGCTTTGCCTACATTCTTTATCATACCATTTCCTTTCTTAACTTCTACAACCTCATTCCATCTCCATTTAGGGATAATATTTAATTTTAAAAATTTAGCCGGGCGGTGGTGGCACACGCCTTTAATGCCAGTACTCGGGAGGCAGAGCCAGGCGGATCTCTGTGAGTTCAAGGCAAGCCTGGGCTACCAAGTGAGTTCCAGGAAAGGCGCAAAGCTACACAGAGAAACCCTGTCTCGAAAAACCAAAAAAAAAAAAAAAAAACAAATAAAAATTTAATTCAAGCTGGAATGTCATGGCACATGTTTTATAATCCCAGCAGTTGGGCAGTGGAGGCAGGAAGATCAGGAATTCAAAGCCAACCTCAAGCTGCATAGTGAATTTTAGGCCAGCCTGGGCTACATGAGTTTCTGTCTCAAACAAACAAGCAAACAATATACCTTTAATGCCAGCACTCCATAGGTGGAGGTAGGTGCATCTCTGTAGGTTAAGAGATGCACATCTTTGAAGTCCCAGCACTTGGAAGCAGAGGCAGGCAGATTTCTGTGAGTTCAAGGCTAGCCTGGTCAGATTTGTTTATTTTCTTTTTGTTAATTTGTTGTTGTTTTTGTTTGTGTTAGATATCTCAATATCCTAGGCTGGCCTCAAACTCAGCTGTCTTCCGGGTCAGCACTGGAGTACCAGGAACACAGGCATGAGTTCCACTTGGTCTTTGGGGCTAGTCTGTCTTTTTGTCTGTCAGGAATTCACCATGTAGACCAGACTGGCCTTGAACTCACAGAAATCTGCCTGCCTCTGCTTCCAAGTGCTGGGACTTCTGAGATGTGCATCACCAGACTGGCTTCTTTAGCCTTCTTTAAAGGTTGTCATTCTGTAACCACTGACCACAATGCACACATAATTTGGACGTAAGCTATTGAGCCAAAGGATCTGTGTGTCATCCCTCAACTTCACAACCCATGTGGGATAACTAGTGTAGGCGCTCGCCTTTTGAGACCTCAGTAATTCATTCAATTAACCAGAGCCCCAGGCAATTCCCTGGGCACAAAGGATAAAATAGATTTGTGATGTTCTTCCAGCCCCTGAGTCACACAAAGCTTTTGTATGTCCTTAAAACGAATGATTTGTCCACTTACAAATTGTATACTTGTGACTACCGTGGATGAACAGGACCTTTACCCTCTATGGCTCACAAATATCATCTTTCATTGTTTTCCAAAGACTAACACCCACCACAGTTTAGAGGTTTTTTCCTCTCCTCTCTCCTCCTCCTCACCACCCCCAGAGCTCGGGCCGCTGTCACCATGACAACCAGAACAGAAAGCCTTGGAGCCTTCTCCCTTACTTCTTCTCTATGGGCACGTATCTCCCTAGAAGGACATTTTTTTTTTTTTAATATGTCGGCCAAACTGGACCCTGGAGGCTGTTCTTCAAATAGATCATCAAATCATATGAAATTAGCAGTCTAGAGACAAGATTCTGATGGTCAAGGAACTAGGGATCTTCTTCTTGTGTCAAAGAAAGCAAAGTGTATGAATATGTTTTTACTGCCAGGGGCTTCACATCTAAACGCAGGTGGAGTTCCGGTTAGAATGTCCAAGTTCCTCCTGAGCTAAGCCAGCTCGGTTTGAGAAGCCCGTTTGAGCACTAAGAGACTGGAAAAAGCTTCCACAGCAGAAACCTGTCCTTTGAGCCTTGGGCTCATGTCCCCATCGGCCTCCTTGGCACTCCCCTTGGCTGTCTCCAGTTCATCTCAGCCTCAGTCTCATCCCCTTCTTTTCCTCCTCTTCCTCCTCTCCATAAACAGGTGCACCAGGCGGCCAGTGTCCCACCCAATGGGAAGCATTCCTATTTGCCCCTCCCCCTTGCCTCTCTCCATGGCAACCCTTAGTCAGTCCTAAACCAGTAAAGGCAAGTTTTTCTCCTTCAGTCCCTCCCGTCACTTTCAATGAAAGCGTAGCTGCCCTCTGCCTCTATTTTTGTTATTTGGGGTTTTTAAAAAATTACTTATTTCCTGGTGTGAGTGTTTTGCTCTTGTGTATTTCTGAGACGAGGTTGTCAGATTTTTCTAGAACTGCAGTGGTGGACGATTGCGAGCCATCTTGTGGGTGGTGGGAACTGAACCCAGGTCCTCTGCAAGAACAAGTGCTCCTAAGCCCTGAGCCATCTCTCCAGCCCTATTCTGGTCCTTTGAGACAGAGGCTTGCTCTCTGGCTCAAACTGGCCTCCATCTTGAGATCTTTCTGTCTCTACCCTTCTGGTGCTGGGGGTACACGACTACAGCCCACACCTGGCTGCCTGGGTTAGTCTAGGCTTCTCTCTCAGTCCTCTTGTTCTTCATAGAGAAGCCACAGTGATCTCTTCCAAGGATAGACCAGCGGCTGGAGAGGTGGCTCAGTGGTTAGGACTATTCTTTGCTCTTCCAGAGGACCTGAGTGCCTGTAGCTGCTCCTGGGGAGATCCAACATCCCCATCTGGCTTCTGAGGGAACACCCACACACATGGCATTCATTCACACACACACACACACACACACACACACACACACACAAATAAAAATGAATCTTTAAAAATAGATTAAAGGGGCCGGGCGGTGGTGGCGCACGCCTTTAATCCCAGCACTTGGGAGGCAGAGGCAGGCGGATCTCTGTGAGTTCGAGGCCAGCCTGGGCTACCAAGTGAGTTCCAGGAAAGGCGCAAAGCTACACAGAGAAACCCTGTCTTGAAAAACCAAAAAAAAAAAAAAAGATTAAAGGGGAAACAAATAAAAGGGATAATAACCATAGAACCGTTCTCTTTAAAAATTCGTTTTAGCTTCCCCTCCAGTTCCTCAGGCAGCCTCATCTCACCCCAGCTCCCGACTGCCCTCGACTCTCCAGGAGGCTTGAAACCGCCTGGCTTCAATTTCCTCCCAAGTCCAAAAAGTTGCCACGGGTCCTGTTTTTCCCACAATGCTCTTTGCCCATTTCTATGCCTTTCCAGTCTCCATTCTCATTTCCACTTTCCAATCTCATTCCTAGATTTTGCCAGCTCATTGCAGGGTGGCCACTTCCTTCTCAACCTTGAGGTCTCAGTTAAGTGCCACGCCCTCAAAAAGACCTCTGGCCAACCCTAGCCAATGAGTCCAATGATCCCTCTTCCACCAATTAGTCTCATCAGGACCCCTGGTTTATTTCGGTATAAGATTTCCCAGAACACATGGCTGTCTCCTTGTTTGTCTCCCCAACTAGGGAAGAAAACTCCTTGTGGGAAGGCATTCAATCTATTATTCAGGATGAAGGGCATACATGAAGCACTGTTAGTATCTGTACATATGTGGGCAAGTTTACCTGTAGTTCCGCTAAGGCCCTCTCCTCCTAGGAAAGGTGTACCTGTCTCCCTTGCTACCAGGGTTTGGTGGCTAGGAGTCCATTCACATGGTGCACATGAAGAGTTTGGTGAGGAGATTATTAAGTGTGGGATGGACTGGGTTAAGAAAACCGACAGAAGATGCTCAGATACCAACTGGCAAAAGCAGGGAGTCATTATATGGGGAAGATGGGGGCGGGGAGCACATAGGAATGAAGGTCAGAGTCCAGTGAGACGCGATGCTGGGAAGATGGACCACCATCCGTCTAGGCTTGTGGTCACAAACCAGGACAGCAACTGTATCATCTTCTCTTACTCTGCCAGGTCTGGTCCATTCCCCTCCATGACTGAGGCCAAGCAAGAGAGCCAAGCGAATATGGCAGTCTGCAGGAGATCAGGCTTTCCAAACCACGCAGAGGCAGATAAATGGGGATGGAAGAGTAGAGACACTCAACCCCAACAGCTGGCTTTTAGGCGGGTTCTGCCCCCGTGACTTAGCAGCCAATCCCATTAGGAGTTTATGTTCAGATTATAGCTGCCATTTTTTGTTTTCCTACTGTGGGCCAAGGAAAACTAATTTTTATTTCTTTGTTGTTTTGTTGTTTTGAAAGGGGGTCTCATGTCACCCAGGCTGGTCTTGAACTCACCCAGTGTGTAGCTGAGGATGAGCCTTCTGCCTCTACCTCCCAAGTGTTAGGATTTCAGGGTTACAACCACCACAGTGTTGATTCCTAAACAACCAACTTAATAATAAACCCGAGAGGCGTTGGAGCCTGCTTTTATCCAGAACAAGTGGGTGAAGTGTTTTTCTTATTAGTAAGCACGACACTGCCCACTCAAGAGAAAAAAATGGCAATCTTATTAGGCCACCTTCTAAATTGCATTATGAAACTTGCTGATTATATTCATAGTATTTTCACAAAGTCTATGGGACCGGTATTTGGCGAAATTTGATTTCTAGGTTCTGTCAAAGCACTTGCAGGGAAAATCGCTCTGCAATCTGTTTTTCTGAGTCAAAATGCTTGAAGTATTTGGGTTCCAGTGTTCATCCTTCTCTGAACAGTTTGCTTCGTGAGAACGTCTGTAGCTGACTCATATTATTCTACAAATACCAAACTACACCCCGGTCTATTTAGGGGATATTGGTCATCATGGAGCTTTTACAGACATATGCTGGAGGAAAAATACATGAAATGCAAGTTTTTCTGAGCACTGGCCCTGCGGGTTTTTACCTTTGAATAGCAGTGGGAGCTGAGCCAACTCAGAACAGCTGGAAGGAATTGCAGTATCAATGTACAGCTCCTCTCTAAAATTCTTTGGTTTTGAATTTAACTTGGAAGCTTAGCTGGTTATATTGAATGCTTCCACAGGAGCAAAGGGGCCTTCGTATACAGCGCCAGCTGCCTAATTGATTGTCTCTGTGTCTCTGTTAATTAGGCCCTGGATCTGTGAATGGAGCCCCCCAGCCACAACAGCAACTGGATTTTCAATTCATTTTTCTCTCTGCTTAAAATGTTCTGGACATTGGAAACACTGTTTAATTATAATATCACCATCTGTCTACTCTCTGCATTGTGTGACCAGAAAATACACAACGTGCTTATTGTGTTTATTGATTCATTTAAGCTTCAAAAATAATAGAATGCTATATAATAGGATGCAGAGAGGATGGATTTTTATCTTTCTACTGTTCAGAAAAGAGGCAAATTGCTCTATGCTTTCAAATGTTTGAAACAGACGCTGTGAAAGAAATTCAAATTTGCCTCTGATTTCCCTGTACTCAGAGATTCCGTTGACAAAAAATTATGTCCTAAAATACCTAGATGCCACCCAGTATATATTTCAAGAGAAGCAAAGTGGACAATGAGGTTTTGTTTTGTTTTGTTTTTTGTTTTTTTTCGAGACAGGGTTTCTCTGTGTAGCTTCATGCCTTGACAATGAGGTTTTAAAAAAAAATACCTGAAAAGCCAATTTGTAATGATAGAGATCTTAATTGAATCACCTGGGACCTTATGCTTAACAATATGCACCAAGTGCCTCTGGCTTCCAGTTAATTAACAGCGTTATCCTTCTTTTAGACATGATACATACGATTGGGGTATATCCATCGAAAAGACGCTTCCGGGGCTGGAGAGATGGCTCAGAGGTTAAGAGCACTGACTGCTCTTCCAGAGGTCCTGAGTTCAATTCCCAGCACCCACATGGTGGTTCACAACCATCTGTAATGAGATCTGGCACCCTCTCCTGTCTACATAATAAATAAATAAATCTTTAAAAAAAAAAAAAAAAAAGAAAAGACGCTTCCCAGGAAACACAATGCCTTCATGATGTGTGTGTGCTTATGCCCAGATTAAAATGGCCTCATTTCTTTCTCTATGAGTGTAGTGACCTTATCGAGTCACCCAGATTAAAGGATGTGGTAAAAATAAATAAATAAGGTAGTTTCACATCTAGAGATGAGAAAACACACTGGTGTAAATCTTACGGAAACTAAGCTTCAGAAACACGAGGCATTCGCTTTGACTGAGAAATCTCTCAGATGTGGGAGAACGATGTGTGAGATTTGGACTCTCGTCTTCTCAAATATGAGGAATTTGTGTGCTCGCGTCAAGCGGCTGGTAGTGGATGGAGAGGCTTAGTGAGCGTCCCACTTGGCAGGCTGCTGGGCAGAAACCCATATGCTCTCTGACGACACTGATTATAATTACCTTCCGTCACCCGTAGGTTAGTTCTTCGCGGGCATCCGAGCCAGCTCCATCCTGAGGGAGGCTCCTGCTGAGAAACCATAGCTGGCACCGAATCTTTAACAAAAGATCAAGAACTTGACATTTATTTTTAAGCGTGAGAAGGAAGTGTGCAGTGTTGGAAGCAAACACAGGGCTAAGAAGAGCTAGCTTCTAAACAGTTGCAGAGAGAAGTGGAACCCGGAGAGCTATCATGCTGAGGGGGCCTTTCCTCCTGGGCACCAGGCCCTGATGATCATGGGGGACATGAAGACTTTAGAATGCAATAGGTGTACACACGTATTATACACACACACACATACACACACATATGCACAATACACACACATTCACATCTTTTAAAAGTAGACGGTGGGGCAATGCATTTATTATTTTTATTTTGAATCAGGTATAGGTTTTTTGTTTTGTTGTTTTGTTTTGTTTTTGACACAGGGTTTCTCTGTGTAGCCCTGGCTGCCCTAGATCTCACTCTGTAGACCAGGCTGTCCTCAAACTCAGAGATCCACCTGCCTCTATCTCCCAAGTTCTGGGATTAAAGGCATGTGCCACCACTGGCTGGCTGAATCAGATTATTTTTTTGTAAGAAGATTTATTCCTATTATTTTAAATTATGTGTATGTGTGGGGGTAGGAACACGTGAGTACAGGTGTCTGTGGAGACCAGAGGTCCTGGATCCCCTGGAGCTGGAGTTAGAGGCAGTTGAGAGCTGCCTGACATGGGTGTGGGGAACTGAACTCAGGTTCTCCTCAAGATCATCAAGATCTAACCACTGAACTATCTCTCCGATCCCATTAGGTGTGCTTAACATTTTTACATTCAACTGATGGTTCAGGGACACTGTTAGGAGGTCTGGTTCACACACAACAGAAGAGACAGCCCTTTTCATTTGTAACTGACCAGCCCAGCAGAAACAACAACGGCGGTTTTGTTTTCTCCCCACTAAAGGATGCAAGCATGCAAACTTGGAATGTGTTCACCTCCGTGGGAGCGGAGAGGTGTGCTTGCTGAAAAGGTTAAATAAAGTACACCGGGTGAGAATTTATCATCTTCAACCTGTCCGCCTACAGTAAGGAAATCTCCTCAAAATTAATTTTAAACAAACAGATGCAGAACAAGATGTGGTTATCAGGAACTTAGCAAGTGAATTATAATAGGGTGTCAGCCCCTCCCCTGAAGAGAGCCAACCTCAGGGGTTAGCTCAGTGTCCTGACTAGTTGGACCATTAAAATCAAATGCAGAATATAATTAAGCAAATCCTCCAGGTGACAGCCTCAAAATTCCTCTAGCTGAAGGACTCACCAGAAGGAATAATAAGTACTTTACTAAATGATTTAAACCATAAATTTAGTTCAGACGGGCTTTGAAGTCGGCATCAACCCCACAAGAGACAGTTTGCAGCCAGTGGAAGGCAGTGAGTGTGATGTGTGTGCAAGTGTATGTGTGTGTATGTGTGTGTGTGGCTTTTTTGTTTTCACTGAGCTGGGCTCTTTTTTTGTTTGTTTTTGTTTTTGTTTTCTCGAGACCGGGTTGCTCTGTGTGGCCCTGGCTGTCCTGGATCTCCCTCTGTAGACCAGGCTGGCCTTGAACTTAGAGATCTGCCTGCCTCTAGCTTGCTGGCATTAAAGGCGTGCACCACCACCACTGCCTAGCCCTAATGGGATTCTTATTTCTACCTTGTTCAAGTTGATGTGTGTATTTCTGGGTTGATGTATATATATCCAAGGTGTTGGGTATTTGTCTGAGCTGATATGTGTATGTCTGCCTATATGTGAGAATGAGGTCGAACAAGCGAATTTAAGAGAAAGTTGCTGTAATGGTTTGAAGGAGAATGTCGTCCCCCCCCCCCCCAATCATATATTTGAATGCTTTGTCATCAAGGAGTGGAACTGTTGGAAAGGATTACAAGTATTAAGAGGTGTGGCCTTGTTGGAGTAGGTATGGTCTTGTTGGAGGAAGTATGTCATTGGGGGTGGGCTTTGGGGTTTCAAAGCCTATACCAGGCCCAATCTCTCTCCCTCTTTGTCTCTCCCTTTCCTCCCCCCGCCCCCCGCCCCCGCCAGCCTGCTGATCAGGATGTAGCTCTCAGCTACTGCTCCAGTGACATGTGTGATGTCATGTTCCATGCCATAATGACAATAAACTAAACTTCTGAAACTGTAAGCAAGCCCCCAGTTAAATGATTTATTTTTTTAAGGGTTGCTTTGAATATGGCATATCTCCATAGCAATTGAACCGTGATTAAAACAGCTGCATATTATTAAGAACTAAATGAGTCATGATTATAGACTTGTGAATACTATACCAAAATTTAGGGGGAGAAGGCTGATGTGGTGCCTTTAATCTCAGCACTCAGGAAGTAGAAGCAGACAGATCCTTGACTTTGAGGCCAGCCTGGTCTACCAAGCAAGTTCCAGAATGGCCAGGGCTACACAGAGAAATGCTGTCTCAAAAAAATAACAAAGATGATAGATAGATAGATAGATAGATAGATAGATAGATAGATAGATAGATAGATAGATAGATAGATAGATTTATGGGACTGGAGAGCTGGCTCAGGGGTTAAGAATGATTGGTGCTCCTCTAGAGGACCTGGATTTGAATCCCAGCACCCACATAATGGCTCACAACTATCTAACTCCTGTTCGAGGGGATCTAGTGCCCTCTTCTGGCCTCTGGGAGTACTACATGTACTTCATGTACATAAGCAAAGCATCCTGTAGACAATTGGTAGGAGCTGGTCCTCTCCTTCCCCCACGTGGATCTCAGATATCAAACCCAGGCTGACATGCTTTCACACTGAACTACATTACAGGCATGGAGTCTGTTTTTAATCTTTTTGATTTGGTATAATCAATACTGCTTTTCTCACCAAAGGTAAAGATGTTCATGGTAATTAAAGGGGGAAAGAGACCATTTATCTAATGCAAATATATAAGATAAAGAAGAGAAAGCCAATGAATTCTTTCTTTCTTTCTTTCTTTCTTTCTTTCTTTCTTTCTTTCTTTCTTTCTTTCTTTCTTTCTTTCTTTCTTTCTTTCTTTCTGTTGTTCTTGTTGTTGTTGTTTTTTGAGACAGGGTCTGTGTAGTTTTGATGCCTGTCCTGGACCTTGCTCTGTAGCTGACCAGGCTGGCCTCGAACTCACAGAGATCCACCTGGCTCTGCCTGAGTGCTGGGATCAAAGGCGTGCGCCACCACGGCCCGGCGCCAATGAATTCCTATCCATAGCACTTTTGTTTCTTCCTTTACAGAGGCTCTCAACCTTCCTAACGCTGTGACCCTTTAACACACACAGTTCCTCATGTTGTGGTGACCCCCCCCCCAACCATAGCATTATTTCATTGCTTCTTCATAACTGTAATTTTGCTACTGTTATGATCTATAATTTAAATATCTGCGTTTTCCGATGGTTTTAGGTGATCCCTGTGAAAGGATCGTTAGACGACGCCCCCGCCCCCGCCCCCGCCCCCCCACCCCCAAGCGGGTCTTGATCCATAGGTTGAGAACCACTGCTTTAGAATGAGAATTAGCGGTGCTGGAGAGCTGATTCAGCAATTAAGAGCTCATACTGTTCTTGCAGAGGACCTGGGTTTGCTTCACAGCACCCACGTGGTGACCACAACATCAGAAACTACAGTTCCTGGAGACCTGACCCCCTCTTCTGAATCCAAGGACACCAGATATGCATGCGGTGCACATACATATGTGCAGGTAAAAGTGTTCATCAAGCATTTTACATGTACTCTCTTATTTCTTATACAAATCTTAAATACTGCAGGGCAGTGGTGGCCCATGCCTTTGATCTCAGCACTTGGGAGGCAGAGCTAGGTGGATCTCTGGGCTACAGAGGGAGATCCAGGACAGGCACCAAAACTACACAAGAGAAACCCTGTCTCCAAAAACCAAAACAAAAACCA